CAGGGAGGGATGAGGGAGACGGGGGACAGGGGTCAAAGGAGGAGGGGGAGGCGGCAAGGAAGGGGCATGGAGGGGGTGGGATGGGAGGGGAGGGCAGCTGAGGCGACAGGGGGGAGAGAGCGGAGGAGGAGCGGGGAAGGAGGGAGGGGACGGCAGGAGGAGGGAAGGCGAGAGGAAGGGAGGGCCCTGCTGGGACCCCGCGGCCGGCCCCCCTTGCGTTTCTGGTGCGCCCACGCGGGGCTCATGCCACCTGCTCCTCGTAGCGCTCCCGCAGGCCCTGGTGGTTCACCTGGCGCTGGTGGGTGGAGCGGGGATTGAGCATGAGGACGAGGAGGGGAAGGTGGGGGGGGGATTGGGCGGGGGAGGAGGGAAAGTGCGGGAGGAGGGGATGGTGAGGGGGAGGATAGCGAGGCGAAGAAGCAAACGAGCTCGTGCGGTAAGCAACCGTGGGATAATGACTTGGGACTACCACTCCTCGAACGCTTTACTCAAACTCAGCTGGCGTCAAGACCCTTGACCACTCTGGCGGCTGCCGCGTGCGGAGAAAGCTGCCAGGAAGAAGAAGAGGGTAAGATGGAGCATAAGCGGAGCAGGAGCAGGAGGAGGAGCAGCGAGGACTGGGCGCATGAGAAGAGGACGGGGGAGAGACGAGGAAATAGCGCAGAGAAGCGAGGTAACAGTTCGGCTCTGGTGCCACCGTTCTTCCCCCCAACCCTCCGCTCCATTCCCCTTCCCTCTCTCCCCTCCCGTCCCCTCCCACATCACCTCCCCTTCCCTCCCATGCCCGTCCCCTCCCACATCCTCGATCCTCGCCCAAAGATTTCTCTGGGCATGGCGACGACCACCGTCCCCCCCCCCTTCCCCATCACGTCCCTCCACTATCCCCCCACTTCCATGCGCAACCCAATCTGTCTCACCCTTTCGTTCTGCCGCCGCCCCCATACGCCTCTGTTCCCCTTCCACCCCGGGTCCCCCCTCCTCAGTCCCCGTCCTGCCTTCTTTGTCTGGCCGGCCGCGGGCAAGGCGACGCAGAAGTCCGCACTTCCCCCCCCCCCCCCCCACACAAGGACACCGCGGGGCCCCGAGGGGTGCAACCCACCAACGGCCCAGCGCCGCGGAGGACGCCACGGGCTCCCTCCTCCTTCTCTTTCCGCATGTTCTGCTCCTTCCCCGGAGCCCAGATCATCCACTTGCTGGGCACACACTGACACACAGTGAGAGAGACTGGGCCAGCGCCTGGGCGGCCTCGCCCAAAACGCTGGCCTCGTCGAGAAACGACGGGGCAGAGGCAGACACGAAGCGTACCCTCCGACCGCTCGGCGCAGGATGCACCGAGCTTCGGTGCACCGAGCGGGCCCTATCTCCCCGTCCCCTTCCCTCCCACACCTCCTTCTTCTGAGCATGCTCTTGGGGTGGAGGGCTCAGGGTGAAATCCGTATGGGCTCTTGCACCTCGAGAATCAATTCCTCTTGTGACTCACCTCTTGCAGATCCAGGCCTCGAGCATCCATCGAAACGGCATTTCAGATCTCACCCGCTGCCCTCCACCCAAAGAAAATGCTCGGTTCTCCCCCCTCACGCGCCCATCCCTCTGCCCTCCGAGCGGGGCCCGGCGGAAAGCGCCGGACGGGGGCCCGGCCCCCTGTTCTCGCGAGCGTCCCCTGTCGGGCGGTGGGTGCGGGTGTGGGGGGGGGGGGCGCGGCGGTCTCCTCGAAGGTCTCGCGGAGCTTCTCGAGGCTCGTCGCGAAGCGCTTTCGTATCATCTCCACCTCGGCGTACTCTTCACCACAAGGGGGGCGGCTGAAGGGAGACCAGCTGCAACTGCAAGGAAGCAACGGCTTGTGCTTGCACGCCATTGCAACGCATACCATGCCCCAAAAGCGTGAAGATTGAAAAGCCCGACTGGCCAGGTCCGCATTTTAACACCAGTGTGTAAGAAGGCTACGAGCCGTGCTTCAACACATCCAGCGCAAAATGTGGATAGCAACAACAGGAGCAAGGAGAGGGAAACAGACGGCAAAGAAGAACGGGGAAGAGCAGAAAACAGTACGGAACACGGCAGGAGAGCGGACGACATAGGAGGCAGCAGAGCAGTAAGGAGGGTGACCAAGGCAAGCAACACGAAGCAGCAGGGGGACGGCCTGGCAACTCATCCGCCAAGAGGGTAAGCGTTAGCAAATGAGAAACCACACCACCAACGCTTGAGACATTGATGTGGGAATATATTGCTCGAGAATATGGCGAGGACACCCAGGGCGGACTCAATCACACCATGCAAGACATCATGCAAATTGCAACGGCACCGAATCGCCAGCGACAACTTGGACGAACAGGGGGAGGGCGGGAGGAGTAACGCCCTCCTGGAGCGACGCTGGTGCCACATTTGCCCTCCAGGCGGCTTGGACTGAAGTGCGCACGGAATCAAATTGGGTCGCGCAATTACCAAGGAAGCATCTGCCAACGTACAGCGAGCGGCTTGAATAGGGAACACATACGTTTCAAAAGGGGATCAGTCGTTCCTAGGATTGCATGCGTGATGTATGATGTCTCGTTCCTTATGCGTTACTCCTTGGAAAAAAGGGGGCTTCTTTCCACAAGTATATATATATATACCATATATATATACACATACATATCGTTCCTTAGGTCAGGCCGATGACTGTAGCCCTCTGGTAAGACCCAGCTGGAAGAACTCAGAGGCCTCCGCCTCGGACGCCACCCCCCGCGGGGGCCACAAGCCAGAATTCGAAGACAAGCGACCACCCCCTGACGGCAACGAGAGGGATGGGGGGAAGGGGAGGGAGGCCACGGCAGGAAGAGCGAATGAGAAGCGACGAGGGCACGGGGTAGAGAGGGAGAGGAGCGGTCCCCCGCCCCCAGGGGCGTGGGGTCCCCAGAGAGGCGGCTTGTGGCCGGAGCCAGGTGGCCGCCAGCCACGGAGTCGGAGCACCTCGACAAGGGCGGAAATGCGGCCAGTCACTCCAGCGTGAAAAAGGAAGAGCCGCAGTGCGCTCTTCCTTTTTCACGCTGGAGGAGGAGGAGGAGGAGGAGGAGGAGGAGGAGGAGGAGGAGGAGGAGGAGGAGGAGGAGGAGGAGGGGGAGGGAGGAGGAGGAGGAGGAGGAGGAGGCGGAGGAGGAGGAGGAGGAGGAGGAGGAGGAGGAGGAGGAGGAGGAGGAGGAGGAGGAGGAGGAGGAGGAGAAGGCCTTCTCAGAAGTCGGCGGGACTTCTCAGAAGCCCTCGCGCCTCCTGATTCAAGTTGTTGCTGTCTTCGGTGGAGGCTGAGGCAACTTCTCGGAAGGCTGGGGGACATCCGAGCCTTCTGAGAAGGCCCGCCCCTTCTCACTTCCCCCCCTCGCTCGCCGCCTATCGTCGGGCGGAGGTCCCAGGAGCAGTCCTGGCACGATTCAGGGTTGTCAGGATTCCACAGCCACACGTGCGACGATCACAAACGGGCCTTACGCGAGAAGGCATGGCGACCTTACGCGGCGGCTTATGCGGGCCACCAGCGCGGCAAGCCACAATGGAAACGAGGGCGATTACGCGCGAGCTTACGCAGGCAGCTTGCGCGCCAATGTCGGCGAAGACGACTTCTGCGTCGCTCACACGGGCTCGCGGAACTGAAGTCCCGGGAACGGCGTTCTGGCAGATCCCAAATCGTCAGGATACACCAGTGGGGTTGACTCGCGGCGTTAAAGACCCCAAGATTGCGTCTCTTGGAACGATCAAAGATTCTCAGTTCACTTCTGGAACTGAGGGGTGCCCAAATCCTACCACATCTATGATGTACAGCTTTTGATTTAGTGTCGTTCCAGTGCCCTGGCGAGGCATCTCCCCTTGTTAGAACCTGTGGGAATTGAATCCCGATTTGCGTTTTGAATATACGGGTATTGTCTTTCAACGGGCAACTGCATGCAATGCAAGTATATTATTACAGGGACCTGGCTAGGGAACTTGGAGGGAGGGTCTATTGCAGCATCGTTGATGCATATTGGACTTACACTGGTCCTCCTCCTCCTCCTCCTCCTCATTCTTCCTCCACCTACCGCCCGCCCTCTCCTCCTCTTCCTCCTCTTCCTCCTCCTCATCCCTCTCCCCTCACCCCCCCCCGTCAGCGACGCGCGCCGTAGGTAGCAGGGCCCCGAGAAGTGAGGGCACGGAGCCCTGGGGCAACAGCAGAGGCCCGCGCGGTGCCCTCGTTGTCGAGCTGCTGCTCCTTGAGGTCGCGCTTGATCTCCAGCTTCTCCTCCCCCATCCCACTCTTCGTCCCCTGCTCCCCACTTCTCCTCCCCCTCCCCTCCCTCATCCCACCAGCCCATATTCCTCCTGGCCGTCTCCTCCCCCTCTTCCTCCAACGTCTGATTATTTCTTTATGTGATTACTTATTTCTCTCTATCTCTCTCTCTCTCTCGCTCTTTCATTTTTTTTTCTCTCTCTCTCTCTCTCTCTTTCTCTCTCGTCCGCGTCCTCCAACTCCTCCTCCTCTTCTGCGGGATTGGGTGCGCACAGCTTTGCGAACCTCCCTCGGCCACTCCTGATCTTGCTCATGACACTGGGCACCCTTTCCCAGCGAGCTGCTGAATCGAACGACAGGCCAGTTCAGAGGAACGGCAGCGGATCTTCCAGCGAAGGGGGGGGGGTTGAGGGAATGAATTCTGATGAGTTCTACCACAATGCGAGATCGCCATGGCATCGCACTGACGGTTCGCATCTGAACTTCCGGCTAAAATTCTACACTTGTGTTGGCGAGATCTGCCGAGGTACGAATCACCCAACCAAGGCACCTAGCAACGGATTAATGGCTCCGTCCGCATAAACATGCTGTACTGACGCCAAGCTTGGGCCGGCAGGGTTCCCAGTCTCAAGATGGCCGTCACTGAACTGATGGTCATCTCTCCATTTGCCCCCTTGACAAGAGCGTCGCTCGAGCAACTTCACGCAGTCAGGCAGACTGGGTCGAGCGGCGACGAAGAAACCACAGCGATCATTTCAGATCAGTACTGCCGTTCGATCTGAGGGCTGACTGCTACCCGAACCCTTGTGCTAAAGTTACGTGCCATCTGCGGGGCGTCAGTTGCTTGCCCGCTGCGACAGAGCCTGCGCACGGAGCGGAAGGAGCTTGAGGAGGGGAGTGGGAGAAAGGCAAATGAGAAAGATCCGGAGGATACGGTGCCAGAGCAGCAGGGAAAACGAGGAAGGAGGCAAGAGGATGAACGGGGGATCATAAAAATGAAGATGATGATGATGATGACGATTATGAGAAGGAAGAGGAGGATGCTGATGATGATGACAATCATGATGACGACGATGATGAGGATGATGGTGATGATGATGCTGATGAGAAGGAGATGGAAGATGGGGATAATTATGAAGAGCAGGGTGAGGATCATGATGAGCATGATGACGCTACTGCTGATGATAATGATGATAAGTATGAACATTACGATGTCGATGGCAATGGCGATGATGATAATGATGATGATGATGGTGATGATGGATGATGATAGGGGCAGTGATGATGATGACGATGACGATGATGATGCTGACGACGATGATGATGGTAATCACGATGATGATGATGATGATGATGATGATGATGATGATGATGATGATGATGATGATGATGATGATGATGGTGGTGATGCTGATGGTGCTGATGCGGAAACTGATGAGTTCGACAATGCTGACGATGATGATGATGATGATGGCGATCCTGATGATGACGATGATGAGGATGTGAATGATGATGCTGCAGATGAGGAGATGGATAATGGGTATGATCATGGAGATCAAGATGATAATGATGCATGATGATGCTGATGATGCTTGCGAAACTTACGATGACGGTGACGATGCCGATGACGATGAGGGTGGTGGTAATCATGATGATGATGTTAGTGATGCTGCTGGTGATGGTGCTGATGCGGATGATGCTGCCGACGACGATGATATTGACGATGATATAATGATGACGACGATGATGATGAATAGTTTGACTAGGTATGATGTTGATGATGACGATGATGCTGATGCTGATGCTGCTGCTGCTGATGATGGTGCTGCTGCTGCTGCTGCTGCTGATGATGATGATGATGATGATGATGATGATGATGATGATGATCCCGGGCGGAGGAGCAAAGCGAGGATCGCAAGGAGGGACATGAAGAGGAGGGGGCAGAGGAGGACGAGCTGGAGGAGGGAGGGAACAGAGCAGCAAACCTGAAGCAGGAGTGGGGCGCTGGCCAGGCCACTGGACCGAGCCGAAGCAGGACCCCCGACCTGTGGCGGAGCTGCGGCGGCTCCTGGTTCATGGCCAAGACCTCAGAAAAGCCGCGCTACTCCTCCGCCTCGTCGTCGTCTCTCCCCTCCTCGTCCCCTTCCCGCCCTCCCTCTGTCCCCCCCTCCTGCCCTCTCCCCTCCCTCCCCCCCTTCCTCCCTCGTCGCCGCCCCCCCTCCCCCCCCATTCACTCTCCACTCTCCCCTTCCCGTCCTTTTTCCTTCCCCGTTCCCTCCACTCTCCCCTCGCCCCCCCTCCTGGCCAGCCCGCCCTTTCCATCCAGTCCCGCCCCCCGCATCCAGAGGCTGCGGGATGAGAATGCAGCCCGGAAGCCCTGCAGGCGGGTGTGGGAATTAATTGCTTGAAGGCACCACCGCCCAGTTTCCAGCATGGCGGGGTGGTGGTTTTTTGCTGGGCACAATGCTGGGCTAGCTCCCCATGCCTTTTCAAGTTGGACCGCGAGAAGTTGTTGCTTGTGTCTGCAGGGGGAGCTTAGAGACAACTCCTCAAAGGCCAGGGGGACCCCCAGGCCTTCTGAAAAGGCCAGCCCCTTCTCACTGTTCTCCCCCGTGCCCGCCGCCTGCACCGTCGCTGCTCCCTGCCATTTCTGCTTCTCTTCCCCTGGGCGAGCAGCATCGTCGACGCACACTTGGGCAAGCAGAGGGCTCGAGCGATGCACGAGCAGCACTCTCGAGCGACTCGGCGCGCTGCGAGGCCGGCTCGAGCCGGCGGAACGTCCTGGCTCTCCCTCCCGTCCTCTCTCCCTCCGGGCTCCTTCCCCGCTCCACCGCCCAGGCTCCTGTTGTCTCTCCCTCCTCCCTCCACCCTCCCTCCCTCCTCGACCCCAGACTACAGAAGCCCAAAAACGGTGAGGGCATTTTTTTTTATCCTATCAGCCTGGGCCTTGGTCATGCACACAAATTCGCCCCACGGCCGCCCTCGCCACCCCTCCCCCAAAATCGGATCGTGGGCAGGTCGGGAACGTCCACCGTGGGCCCCCCGCGCGCCGACGATTGAGCGTCGGGCGGGGGCACGCCTCGGAAGGCGGGGGGTTTAAGGAACGCCATCTCGAACCAGCGTGAGCTCAACGCTTGGCCAACCTGCCGACGGGGTCGACGAGGCCGAGGGAGCCCACGTAGGCCTTGAGGGTGCAGCGCGCCCTTCACCTCCAGGACGATGCCGCGGGCTGGGGCCACCTGCAGCGCCGGCGCCGGCGATCCGCCCAGTGATCTGGCCGGCTGGGAGGTCCCCTGCCGCTCCACGGCGCGCCCGCGCGGCCGCGCCGGCGGCCCGCGAGCCCTGCGGCCTCCACGGCGATGTGGACGACGCCACCTCGCGGCCACGCTCAGCGGCAGCCCCAGCATGCCACGCATGATCCAGCTCGCCGCGAACTGGATGACGGGCCCCGCGAGCGACGGCGCCTCCCCGCGGCCGCGCGGAGGGCGCAGGCGGGAAGCGCACCATCGCCGCCAGCGTCGGAGCCGCGGCGGGCACGCGGGGCGGCCCTGCGGCGCGGCTCGTGAGCCGAGGCGGCTAACGGTGAGGGCATTGGATAAGGAACCATGGGATAAGGAATCCAGTGTCTAGAGGCCGGCGGAACTCCAATCGTGGATTGGCCAAGGATACCACCGCGGCCCTCCTCAGATAAGGAACCCTCCAGGGTCCGAAGCCTTCTGACAACATTCCTTAACCAACGCTCCCACCGTACTTGCACATCCCGAGAACCCAGCCGCCTTGGAGGCCTGGTCTGGCGCAGCCTCTCCTCGAAGGCCACATCTCCTGGTCGATGGCCGAGAGGCCCTGCGGGGTGGAGCCGCACGCAGCTCCGCCCTGCGGGGCGCAACCGATCCACTGGAACTCCAACTGAAACTCACTCCTGCCCCCTCCAGCCCGACCACCCCAGGAGTTGGATCGGGCATGTCCCCCTACAGGCGGAGCTTGGGCGGACAAAAAAAACAGTCAACGTAGCTTCAAAGCATGCGGAAGCATCGTCAAACAATCGTCCCCAGACCGGTGTCTGACTATTTCCTAAGACCCCCCCTGTAGAGGGCCAGGCCCGACGGAACCCTGGAGGAGGGAGGAGGGAGGAGCCCCCTCGCCTCTCCGCGCGTCCCCTCCCTCCCCTCCCGGGCCAGCCGGTCGCCCACCGCAGCCCCGTGGCCTCGAGCAGCTCTTGGGGGCGCGCCGCGCCGCGACGCCCGACCGGCCGAGGCGTCGCGTTTTCGCAGCTGGCGGCCGCGAGCGGATCGCGCTCCGTGGGCCCAGCGCGGGGCCAGGCCCTATCAGCTGGCGCGTCCCGTCGCGCCGAGCTCGGGCCGCGAACATCTGCTCCGGTAGAGGGAAACAATTACTGAATACTCCCCCTCCCCCCAACTCGATGTTGGCACGCGCGGAAAACACTGCGGTCGGAGTGCATCTCATCAGACCCACCGCCAACTTTGAACATTGGGGGGAGGGGGGAGGCGTTGGGGGAGGCGTTGACACATGAATTTGGCATGAGTGTTCGCTAATTTGTTCCGAGGCCTGTCGCTCTTGCGCCGCAATTTGAAGAGAAACGTATCTGCTGTGGGGAGCTGGGCTGTGCAGGTCCGCCGCCGTCCGCCGCGTTCCTCCCATCCTCCTCTGGCTGTCTGTTCCTCCTTCCTGGGAGGGGGGGGGAGGAGTAGCGAGGTGGACCTGTACGTAGCACCCCGCAAATGCGGATACGAGTGAGGGGGCGGTGGGGACGTTGGACGTCGGCAGTTTGCGAAACTCTAGAGAAGCCCGCCGCAGGCGCCAACATTTCACAACTTACACACCGAGCCCGCCGCAGGCGCCGATTGTTTCGTTAAACCATTGTGGATAGTCGCGGGTGGGTCGCAAATGGGTCGCGGGTGGGTCGCGGGTGGGCCGCGCGCGGGTGGGTCACACGAGGGTCGCGGGTGGATCGCGGGTGGGTCGCAGATGGGTCGCGGGGACGGTCGCGGGTGGGTCGCGGG